CAATGCAGCAGCTTCGGCAATGGAGGCGCTGAACATGGTCCAAAAAAATATTACAGTTGCTTATTAACCCTTTGAAACTGAGGCCTTGATTAATCCTTTGTCAGTAGTTTAACACTTCTTATTTAATATGAGGATACACAAAGTTTTCCATCTGTCCCAAATGAACCCCCACAACCCAAATTTCATTGCGAGCACTGATTTGCATGACATATTTCATTGATATAATTTCTCACATGCACACGTCTTCGTGCCCTACTGACATAATCCCTCTTAAATGTATTAAACATTTAGCTATAATTTCCTATAAAACCCTCTTGAGATTCCACTGCTTTAGATCATTACAGATCAATTTACAAACTGCCATTCATTTAAAAAAATTCTTTGCAACTGGGTTTGTTTCTCTGCCACAGCTCTTAATTGTACAGCTGGTTTTCATCACACAAGGTTTGTAAAAAATATTAAAGACTTACACAAGAAGCTCTTTTTTGCTGTCTTTGGGCTGAAACTTGACCTTGAAGCTGGTGGTGGTGACCTCACCGGGGTATTTCCTGTCCTCCAAGTTCTCTTGGTCCTCTTCCTCACCTTCAGATGAGGTATATGAGGGAGCTGTGTACTCCACCTAAAGCAAGGTAAGACATAAGGTGCTTGTAGCAAGGACCCAGGCTGCCAGACAGTTTTTCCCAAATGTGAATGTTTTTTTATTTGTGCAAACAATTTAGGAGACAGTCTGCTCCATGCTTTCGCGGCTTCCTGCCAAACAACAACCGAAAGGGAGGAATCCCGTTGAGGCCTGGGGTACCTCCTGCACGGTAAACAACAGAGGGGTTGGTGGGGTGGCTGAAGAAGAATTTAAAATTCATGTTTCGTGCAGTTCTTTTAGTGTACAAGACATGAACAGAGGCCCCTGGCCAGTCAGTATCTCTTTTGGGATGCTGACTGGGGAGATGACCTGAAACAGAGCCCGCCCCACACTCTCTGCAGAAATAGTGGGTGGTGACACTGCTTTGGGATATGGCAGTGCATAATCCAACAGAACTAATACAAATCTGTGTGTACTTCGGTGAAATGGGCTAATGAGGTCCATACCAATACGCTCAAGCGGGACCTCCATTAACAGTAACGGATACAAAGGAGCTTTTGGGAGGCCCGGCTGGTTAACCAACTCCAGACACTCCGGGCAGGACATGCGCCATCGATGCACATAATCCGCCTGGAAAATCATTTTCCACGGCTTCTTCTTTCGTGCGAGTGTTATGAATCACTTAATAAATCCATCAATCACTTGGTCAAAGGCTGAGCATAGGATGTCATCGCAAGACTGTTTTAATAGGAAATCGTGTGTGGAGTGAATTACTAGAGGCAGCGGGGCCTCAAGTGAAGTACCTGCCATCTCCTCCTCCCCAGAGTCAGCATCAGATGATCCGCATCACCAGTGAGTGCAGCACAGACACTACACACCGCTAAAGGTCGTAAATGCATCCCCTCATACTGCCCCAAAAGGTTAATAAACCCTGGCCAATCTGTCCCCAGAATTAAGGAATGTGTCTGGTGCGAGCTAACTGCAGCCTTTACACCATGCATTTTTTCACCTGTATTTAATTTGATTGATTGATTGATCATACTTTATTCATCCCGAGGGAAATTGGGTTAAGGCTGCCAGCCATGCCAGCGCCATCTTACCCTTCCGACCATTACACAAACATCACATGGGAAAGACAGGTCAGATAGGTATAACAATGGTAAATACACAACATGTGGAAATACGAGGAGAAAAAAGAACTCCCCCCAGACCGGGCTCCAACAGGGAGATCTGTTTGAGAACAGAAAAAAAAACCACCTCAGTGCATACAAAAAGCACATGACTATAGAAACCATACCATAGAAACACGAGACAAGCAACAGGGGTGGGTAAAGGGTAATAGAGAGCCGGTGTAGACAGCGCATCCGGTCCTGCAGCATGTCTGCGCTGGTCCAGTCGACCGCCATCTTCCCCGAGAGGGGACAAGCATCGAAGGCGTTTGGAAAGGGAAGGAGGATGAGTGTGTATCAGTGTATGTGTATGTGTGTGTGTGTCCAGAGTTCAGCTGAGACAGTGTCCTTCGCCCTGCCATGCTAAGTAAACAGTCTTCCAGCCAACCCAGGTGGCCTTGCATAGGGGAGGAACAGTCTAAGCATCGACTGTTATCAGGGTGTTTTTGTTCAGCTCCAGCCTTGAGATCACAGCTGGCGCCGAAGTGGTAGCCGCATGAAGTGATGGTGGCTTTTACTTTAGTGCGAACAACTTATATGAATTTCAAAGCTGTTCTAACAATCCGACACTGGTCTCTCAATCTCCCGTTGGAGAGCCGTGAGCTTCTCCATGATGTTATCAAACTTACGCTCCGTGATGTTGTCATTCTTGTGCTCAAAGAGCCGATTCTGAGAACCCACGACCGCAGTGAGCTTCTCCAAGATGTGATCCAATTTGCGCTCACAGGTCTTATTCTGAGTGCTTCTCCAAGGTGTAATCCAATTTGCGCTCAGAGGTCTTATTCTGAGTGTTCACGGCAGCTGCAAGCTTCTCCAAGATCTTATCCGTGCTGCGCTCAATGAGCCCATTTTGAGAACTCACGCCACGTCCCATCGTTTCAATCCCAGTGGGCAGCCTTGTGGGGGTTTGAACAGCCGGTTCCGCTTTCTTAATTCTTCGATAAGCCAGGGCCAAGCCAGGGCCAAGCCAGGGCCAAGCCAGGGCCAAGCCAGCTCCGATCAGCAAGAACCCTGTTATCATGGTTCCAAATAGATAGATATCTTCAGCGTCTTCGATCGACAGTCCCGCCAGGCACACAACCCTCGTGTTATGCCACCCGTCCATCGTGTATCCAGCAGGAAAAGTACCTCCAGGACACTCAGGCTCACCCGGGCCCAGACTTCTCATTGAGAAAAGGGTGTCAATTGCATTCAGGGACCAGTTGATCAAATCCATAATTCCTCTCTGTGAGAGAGTGTTCCAGGGAAAAGTAATACAAAAAAACACGAGACTAGACAAGGACACAAGGGGCCAAGCAGGGAAGCTAAGGGAGAGGAGGAGGAGAGGAGAACAGTGCGACTGCCTTCGTCAAGAGCAAGAGAGCAGCGGCACTATGGCCTATTCGTGATGTTCAGGTGAAAGTCAGCCCAAGCAACTAGACATTCGACTACACTTGTCCCATGCTTGGAATGATCCCACAGCTTATCTAGGAGATGGCGATGCACCACTGCCTGCTCCTGGTGCACAGCTACCAGGTAAGCCAGCATCTGGGTTAGCACCTGCACTGGCTGAAAAGAAGTGACTGTAGCAAGGACCCAGCCCGGCAGGAAGTTCTTCCTGCGTGTGAAGGTTTTTTTTAATTTGTGCAAACAGCTTATAAGACAGTCCGCTGCATAATTTCTACAGCCCACTCTCTCTGCAGCTCAGTGATCCTCTCCCCTTAGGTCCTGGGATCCTACTGAAGTAGGGAGCCATGACCAGGTGATGGAGAACAGATATGTGGGGCAGCTTCACCGCTCCCCTGCAGCTGAGCCACAAACCATGCCACAGTGCTTAACCTTATTAGACCACCACCCAATGTAAGGGTAATTGAACAGTACTACTTATTCCCTAAATCATTTTTTATGGTTCTATAATGGTTAATCCACCATGTGCATCACTTTAATCAAACCAACAATTTAAAGCTAAAATATAATTATTTCTGTTATCAATGAACTTTCTAATGTATTATTTTTCAAGAAGGAGAAAAAGCAGTAAAGCACATTATTGTTTTTTGATTAAGATGTCAAATTGAAAATATTTACTGGCGTTCCAAATTAAATTTTTAATGGTTTAATATGACACTAATAATAATTTACGACTTCAATCTTGACAGATTTCTAAAGTATTTGTGTTTTTCTTGTTTTTATTGCAGGTGCTCTAATACATTTATTAAGCACTGTAGGTTCCCAACAAATCAGCTCTGATTCGCTTTCATTTTCTCTAGCTGTCCTCATTTACAGTAGATCTGTACTTACCTCTTCGTGGTCTTCTTCTTTGACACCACCCATTTTGGTGAAGTCGAGTGGGCCTTCCCACTCTTGCTGAGTTGGGCCCTGAGATGCAGTGGCTCCCACATGTTGAGAGGAAGAAGACAAAGAAGATGAAGGCTCTGGAGACTGTACTCCCTCCCGCTTGGTCTTCTTCATGCTAAGGTCCAAGGTGCCATTCTCATCCACCTCAATATCCGCCTCCTAAGTGAGGACACAGTGTGCAAATGAAGTGACTGCAAACTCAAAGAACACGAGTTTCATACACTGTTAGGCTATTTTAAACCGTAGTTTTAAAAAAGAAGCATGTGTCTAAATGAAATTCACTGTGCATCACCTTGGTGCAGGGCTCCCTGGTCTTGGTGCTGAGTGTCTCTGGTCTCTCCCAGCAGCGGGTGGACAGGTTGAGGATAGCTGTTGCTGCCATGTGGGCTGCCTCTGCATCTTGGCTATAGTCATAACCGCTGGAGGACAAGGTGCTCATAGAAAAGCTTCCTGACATGCTGTGACTGGGGGAGGATGCCTTGGGGAATAATTTAGCTGCGTACAAGTGGAACAAAATGATTTCCTTGAGACATGAAATTGGGAGGAGATTACTGCATATTCTACGACTATATGAGTGCAACATAAGTACTAGTTCAGGTTTCCTTTTAGTTATAGCAGAACCTCATACAATTTTATACAGAGTTGGCAAGTGAAAAAACAAACAAACTTTTATGTATAAATTATTTAAAAAAGTAAAACATTTTGTACAAAAACATACAGTTATTAATACAAATTTATAGACGTTACTGACAAAAATAGTTTTTTGGTATAATGTCATTTATTGATCAGAATAATTGTAGAATGACATATTCCATTTGGATATAACTCAGGTGGTTCTCTGCCCCTATAATCTCAGGACTGCGCCTTAAGTTGTTTCTGATACAGGTGTCACGCATGGCAGCTCTGCCTCTTTAGCATGTAAGTGTGAATGGGAAACATTATAAAAGCCCTTTGCAGAACCTAGCTATATTTGAAAGGTGGTATAAAAAATGTGAATAAGACCATTTCACATAGAATGGTTAGTACTGTCACCTCGCAGCAAAAAGACTCCTGGTCTAAACCAGGAACCAAATGAGGCCTTCTTATGTGGAGTTTGCACGTTTTCCCTGTGCCTGGCATCTTCCAGGTAGTTTGGCTTCCTCCCACAGTTCAACTGATAGGTTACCTTGTGCTTGATGGATGTGAGGAGGGTAAATGTATAACAGAATTAGAATTTTTCCCCATCTGTCTCTCTTCTCATGTTTGGTGTGTGTCTTCTTGTTTCTGTGTTTGGTTTCTTTTAATTGTTTTAATGTTTTACTTTGTAGCTTCGTTTTCTTTTGTATCCTGTGTTACTTTTACTTATTCACTGTAACCTGTATCTCATTTCCCCTGCTGTTTGTCATTTCTCAGGCTCAGTGTATAACTAGTCCTGTGTTCCTCTTTGTCAGAATATCGCTGATCCTTGTGTGTTACACTGCTTTTTGTTTTCCTGCTTTGGATTTAGTCTCTGTGCTTTCTTGGCTTTCAACTGTTTTTGTTCCTTCTGTATCTTTTGAATTTCTTGCATTATAATGGCTGCAGTTACAGCCACACAGTGGTAATGTCCACCAAACATCAGTGTTACAACAGAGGCTTACACATAACACTACATTTACATTTTTCTTCCTTTAGATATAGGATTTCATTTACAGGGTAATAAAGAATTGGTTTTGGTTTAGAATTAATTCATTTATATACTCACATAATACTGTATTTTAAAATAAGTGAGGATATTTTAGTTTACACTATTATGTATGTATGATTTAATCTTCCTTCTGTTTTCTTTACCTCAGTGACAGCTGCTCAGGTCCCTTGGTTGATGAGCTAAGAGGTGGAAAAGGGGCGGAGCAAGCTTATATGGAGAACTGCAAATTGGGTCATACCACAATTCTGGATCATGGGGGGGAAATGGAATTTGTTATGTTAGTTTCAGTTGGGTTTTTGTGTGTTTTGTCCCTTTTTTTGTTTTTGTGGGCTGATCAGCCACTATTTAAGGTTCCACTGTTTAGGTAGGTCAGTTTGTTTCAGTTGTTGTTAGTGTTTGTGTAGTTTTGTTACTTTGACCTCTTTTATGGGCCCAACATTTAGATTTTTCTGTATAGTTTAACCGAGTTTGTTTTGGGGTTGAATAAAAAAACTTTTTCGGACTTTAACCTGTACCTGACTTTCCTTCACTGCTCGGTCCATCACATGCATCCTTAGTTTGGGTCATCATTTCCAGCCTTAACTACATAATCTTTTTCTTTTTGTATTATTCTGTGTTTAAATTGTTTGGAGATTGCAGGAGTGCTTGGTTCTAAAATATATTCAAGAGTAAGACAGTGAAAGAAAGTGCTTAATGCTTATCAGATTCACCAAGTTTTTTTCTTTGGTATCTCTAAAGGAGATAAATATTGCCTTTGTCATTTGAAATATCTCATTTAAGCGTTCATCTACTTGTAATATGGATGTATTAGAACACTGCAATTGATCAGAACATACCAAACAAATAACAATTTGCAAGCACAGAGGGAATGCGGTTCACAAACAGTGCCATAGAGAGTTTATGTTAAAACCATAACGATACCTTGGAGTAAAAATTGACACAGTTCTTAAAATGGACAAACAGGTAAATACAGTGGTGAGAAAAAGCTTTTTTCAGCTGAGGCAGCTCTCTAAAGTAAAACCTTTTGTTTCTTTTTGTGACTTGGAGAGAGTTTTACATGCATTTGTGACCACTCGGCTTGATTATTGTAATGGACTTTATATTGGTATTGATCAGGCTTCATTATCACGCTTGCAAATGGTCCAGAATGCTGCAGCTCGCCTGTTGACAGGGACATGCAAACGTGAGCACATTACCCCTGTTCTTGTCTCTTTAAACTTGGTTGCCTGTCCATTTTAGAATTCATTTAAAAATTTTATTGTTTGCTTTTAAAGTTTTAAATGGCCTGGCTCCTTCTTACCTGTCAGACCTTCTACACCAATACAGTCCACAAAAGTCTCCCAGATCAACTGACCAGTCACTCCTTGCTGTCCCCATGTCGAGACTGAAACACTGGGGGGACCGAGCTTTCGCTGTTGTGGCCCCCAAATTATGGAATAAACTGCCCCTCCATATTAGGCTGGCCCCAACACTTGAAATGTTTAAATCACTTTTAAAAATACACTTTTTTTCAAAGGATTTTTAGGAGTCGTACCAGAGTCAGCTTGTAGTCAGTTTTAGTCAGCTGTTGGTCACTCTTAATCTTTTTATTTTGTTAATCTTATTCATTGTATATCTTATTGTCTATTTTACTCATGTTTTAATATTTAATATATATACTGCTTTATTTTTATCTTCTTTTTCATTTATGTATTTATTTTATTGTTATTTATATTTATTACTTTGTCTGCTTAATGTATGTTTTTTAACTGCTGTCTCTGTTTTATTATTGGAAAGCACTTTGGTCAACTTTGTTGTTTTTAAAGTGCTATATAAATAAAGTTGGATTGGATTGGTTATAAAAAGCCTGTAAGTTGTTAAAAAATAAAAGCAAAGTGAAATTGTGTCTTACTTTTGAAGGCTTTGGGTGATGTTTCAGCAGTGCTAGGTGTCTTTGGAATGAGCGTACGTTTTCCAAAAACCTGACCATCAAAGCTTGCATAGTCAAAAGACACCTTGGAGTATTTCTCCAGCTCCTTGGCCAGGTTTGCTCGAGGTGTAGTGGTCACCGTGTTGGGCCGGTAGCTGCCATACTGAGGGATCTCCAGCTGTTTGACAAAACACATGGGCCTAAAAAAAGAGCCCTGATTTAGGTACTGATACTTTAACATTGTATGAATCAATTAGTTGAAAATTTTGCTTGCATGTCTCACCTGAGCACTCTGTCAGAATTGGAAGAGGGTTCACTGGCTGAAGCCTGTAAATGAACCTGTTTGTCCTGGTTCTTGTTCAGCTTAGCAGCAGCGGCAATGGGGCAGCCGGACAGACTGATGGGGAGGCATGCCAATGATATTGCATTTAAAGAAATAAAATGCTCATCAATAGAAACTCACTGAATTGCTGGGAAAGCAGTGTAAGCAGGTGTGAGCACAATGAAATGTTATGCAGTATTATTTTGCAAATGTGTGTGTGTGTGTGTGTGTGTGTGTGTGTGTGTGTCTGTGTGTGCACTCAGATCTAGGATCTTTAAACTAAACTATTAAAAAAACCATCAGAATACAAGCCTCTTTTTACAAGTTGTTTTCTATAAAGTAGTGACAGTCAATTTCTGTTTCATATACTGTTGTAAAAAGTGTTCAGAGTGTATCGAGTGCTTTATTAACCTGCGATGTGTGTTGCGGTTGCTGTTAACATGGCCTTGGCCTGTGCAGCCAGGAGTAGGACACTTCAAGACGTTCTCATGCATGGCCAGGACTACAGACACACAGCAAGTGCAAACTCAGGTCAGTGCATTTATCTTTCATTAGGTGGTTTCACAGCAGTAACAGTAGTAATGTACGTATACACCTGTATGAGCTAGAAAAGGACAAGTGGCAAAGAGGCAAAGATACAGAATTTACAGCAGTAGTGGAAGTAAGAGTAATGGTAAAGCTGGTAGAGTTAATAATAATAATTACAACCTGATTTCCAAAAAAGTTAAAAGCCTATGTAAAATAGTTGACTTAATATGCTGAGGATGTGACGTCTAATGCTGTGGAACACCTCACAACTAATAAACCAACATACAGGTCAGGAAAAAAAAGCACCCCAAAAGTAAAGATAGGGATTCACCCATCTGTGAAAACCTATGATGATATTGTATTCTGAAATAACATTACTAAATATAAATTTGCGGGATGCTACCTAGAATTTGGTGATTTTATTATCTAGTCAATTCAGTGTTGGCCAGTCATATAGCACCAATCACCTTAAAGCACTTTAAATTGCAAGGTAAACACCCTACAATATTAGGAACACTTTTTTAGAAACAAGTTTGTGTGTTAGCATTATTGGTCAGTATTTATTAATCATGGTGATAATTCAGTGCACACATTTGAATGTTGGTCGATGAAGTTAATGGTAAGCTATACTTACTCTCTGGAGGGATTCTGTCTTTGTGAGGACATCCAGACAGACTGCGATGATGGGGATACAGCCCAGTCACATGACCCGTCCCATCACACCCTGGCGTTGGACACTTGACTTCCTTTTTTTCTGGAATTTTATTTAGATAGTGAACACCTACTTTCTATGCAAACACGTTCACGTTTGACTTTGCTGTTTCTTACCTTTGCTGTAGTGAGTGGTGCGGCGGGCTACAGCAGCAGCCTCTGAGCTCTTGCTGGATGATGTGTATGGTTGGTAGTCCAGGGAGCTCCGGCTCTCCTGGCCTTCCTTCACTTCCTCCGCCTTCAGAGCAATAGCCTGCTCCAGCAGCCCCAGGTTCCCCCGAGTCATATCCCAGTTCTCTGAGTCGTCTGTTATTCCCGAGCCCTCTGAGACACGATCCTGCTCCTCTCCTTCCTCTTCTTCCTCCTCCTCTTCCTCTTCCTCCTCTTCATCATCATCATCATCATCATCATCATCATCCTCCTCAGAGCGGACCTCTATAACCACTGTTGTTGGAGAGGCTTTACTGGAGTCTTGGTCCTCCTCTTCCTCCCCCAGGATCTCACTGTCTTCCTTCTCTTGTCTGTGATCCTCCCCCCCTCTCTCCCCTTCCTGTTCTTCATCCTCTTCTTCCTCAGTCATGGGAGTACAGATCTTTTCTTCCCTGAGCGACACCTCAGTTTCAGATCCCTGAGTGCGTGGACTCAAAGTGTAAGGAGTGTCAAACTCTTGGAGGACCTCCCTGCCTGTTCCATCCTCCTCTTCTTCTTCCTCTTCTTCCTCTTCTTCGACCTCTTCTTCATCAGCTTCCCTCTTATGCTGTTTTGACTCTTTGGCCAGATGGCCGTAATCACCACTTGAATACTGATGATCTGAGTTTTTCTGGCTTATCACTTGTCTTTCTATTACCCTCTCTTCTACAATATTCTCAGGACTTTTTTGCTGTCTATTTTCTTCCTCTTCTTCTGCTTCTTCCACCTCCTTTGTTTCTTTTAGATCAGGAATGCCTGTTAGCTCTGTGGGTTCCGCAGATGGCTGATTCTTTGTCATCAGACAAGCATCCTTCACATCCTTTGTCTCTGTTTCCTCCTGCTGAAGGTCATCAGTGAGTGCCACAGGTTTTACTTCCTCACCAGCTTTCTCACTCACAGTTTTGTTGTCAGCCTTTGCACTGATGTGTTTGTTCATGTCAAGGTCAGCTGAAGGACACACTGCTGTTACTTTTGTCACCTGTGAGGCATCTGCTGTGGAGTTCAAAGTACAGATAAATGTCATTGCCACAGATGGTTTTGTCTGTGTCATCTCACAAAAACAAGCATTGTGACTGATCTTGCAGTTGACTTGATGTGATTTGTTTAGCAAGAGTGAAGTGAAGCATGCAAACCAAACTGTAGACCAAAGTCAACTGTTCAGGAAGTTGGCTTTGGTCTACACTCATGCCAAACTCTCCGCTATCTTGAAACTGTTCTGTTCGTCACAGTCACTGAAATACTGATTATGTTTTTTAATGTCCTTATTTTTATACAAAGCTCATTTCTGTGACACTGGATTACATATGCTTTAATGTGTCTATATTTCAACTACAAAATGGAAACTCGGATCAGTTTCAGGTTGAAGTAAGGAATTACAACTACATGTACCTTTATCAATATTTTTCAAAGTCTACAATGTTACTTTTATGTAAGTAGGCATTACATTTTAAGATCTACTTCACCCACATCAGAGTAACATCAGAGTTGACAATGACAGAAATTGTAATTTTGTCTCTGTACACCACAAATGAGATTGATGTTAACAAAGGTCTTGCGCTATGTGTTTAGGAACTTTTATGCACAGCCCCTCCATTTTCAGAGGCTTTACAGTTTATTATTCCATAACAAATTACAACAATAAAAGATCTGAAAAAACATTCAATGAGAAGGTGTGTCCAAACTTTTGACTAGGAAATAAGTATTTGATCCCCCATCAATCTGCAATATTTCTGGGTCCCATTTATATTTTATACAGGTAACAAGCTGACATTTGGAGCCTTTTCAACTCATTACCTGTATAAAAGACAGCTGTCCATAGAAGCAATCAATTGATCCAGATTCCAAACTCTGCACCATGGCCAAGACCAAAGAGTTTTCCATGGATATCAGGGACAAGATTGTGGACCTACACAAGGCTGGAATGGGCTACAAGACCATTGCCAAGCAGCTGGGTGTGAATGTGACAACAGTTGGTGCGATTATTCGCATATGGAAGAATCATAAAATAACTGCCAGTCTCCCTTGGTCTGGAGCTCCACACAAGATCTCACCTCGTGGAGTTTATGAGAATAAGAACGGTGAGGAATCAGGCCAGAACTACTCAAACTTTGAAGTTTGTCACCAAAAATCTCAATGTTTCAAAAGAAGACTTGGTGAAGGTGTTGTGGTCAAATGAGACCAAAACCGAGCTATTTGGCATCAACTCAACTTGCCATGTTTGGAGGAGGAAGAATGCTGTCAATGACTCCAAGAACATCATCCCCACCGTCAAAGATGGAGGTTGAAACATGCTTTGAGGGTGTTTTTCTGCCAAGGGGACAGAACAACTGCATCACATCAAAGGGAGGATGGATGGGGCCATGTACCATCAAATATTGGGTGAGAACCACCTTCCTTTAGCCAGGGTATTGAAAATGGGTCGTGGGTGGGTATTCCAGCATGACAATGATCCAAAACACATGACCAAGGCAACAAAGGATGGGCTCAAGAAGAAGCATATTAAGGTCTTGTGTGGCCTAGTCAGTCTCCAATCCACAGAAAATCTGTGGAGGGAGCTGAAGGTTAGAGTTGCCAAACATCAGCCATGAAACATTAATAACTTGGAGAGGATCTGCAAAGAGGAGTGGGACAAAATCCCCCCTGAGATGTGTGCAAAACTTGTGGCCAGCTACAAGACACGTCTGACTTCTCCAGTTACCAAAAAAGGTTTTGCTATGAAGTACTAAACCACGTTTTGCAAAGGGATCAAATATTTATTTCCTTCATGAAGATGCAAATTAACTTGTAACTTTTTTCAAATCCATTTTTCTGGATTTTTTGGTTATTGTTCTGTCTCTTACTTTACTTTACTTTACTTTACTTTACTTTACTTTACTTTATTGATTTCAAAAGCTGTTGGTAGTCCCCCGAACACGTTTTAAAACCAGAGCGGTGGCCCCAAGGTTGTGGAATTCTCTCCCTCCATCTTTACGTTGCCTGGATTGTATTTATTCTTTTAAACATCATCTTAAGACTTATTTATTTAGACTAGTTTTTATTTAGATTTGTGCTGTATATTTGATTGTACTGTTTTATGTTTATCTGTTTTATATTATTGTGAAGCACTTTGTGGTTTTTATCCTGTGAAGAGTACTACATAAATCAATAAAGTAAAGTCTCTCATTGTTCAAATAAACCTGCCATTGAAATTATAGACTGACCATTTCTTTGGTAGTGGGAAAACTTACAAAATCAGCAGGGGTTCAAATAATTGTTTTCCCTGACTGTACATACTTAAAATAAGTATGTATACAGGAGCCAGTTTAGCTTGGCGGGTAAGGAGGCAACTGCTCTAGTTTGGATTTACTCACTTTTTATTGACTCTGGCCTGCTTGTTGTTTTGGCCTTCTTGTCCTTGTTTTCTTCATCCCCTTCATTCTCTTTCTGCTCCTCCTCTTCCTCTTCTGCTGTGTCACTGTCTGCAGTCAACCCTCCATCTGCTGCCTGTTTAGCAGACTGATTCTTTCTCTTGGGAGTGGACTGGTTCTCCCCGGCCTCAGCCTCCTCCAGCTTCCTTTTCTTCACAATTGGGCAACCAAGTATGCTGAAAAGAGAAACATGGTTACTGATGTGTATAATGTCTAACAGGTTAACAGAAGAAAAAGAACCCTAACAAGTAGTTAGTGTTCTGTCACATACTATATTGAGGTGTGTGAGCAACACTGGAGAGTCTAGATACTACTAGCAGCAAAGTTTTTAGTGGCTTTCCTTCAGGTACTCTGGCTTTCTCTCGCAGTCCAAAGTCATGCTTGCTAGATTAATTCATAATTCTAACTCGGTTTTAATTCTGAATACAAGTTAGAGAAGGTGCTTAATCCCTAGCGCTTTATGTTTGATGGTGTGATAGTTTTGAGCTAATGTTTGTTTATGCCATAGTTCCCAGGTCATTGACCCAGCGTTTTGTGTTTAGTGAACTTATTTGGGGATTTGTTCTGTGAAGACTTTCTAATTTTGTTTATCATAATATTTCTAGTAATTCTGTCATAGTCCTGTTTTGTTTTGTTTTTTTGTCTAAACTCTTAATTAAAAATGTTAGTTTTAGTTTTAGGTCAAGTATATTCAGTTTATGTTTTGAGTCCCTTGTATTTTTGCCTCCCTTTTCTCCTGTGCCCTTGTCTTGTCTGTGTTTAGTCCTCAGTCAGTCAGTCTTGTTTCAGTGTTTACCTTTCTGTTTCTATGTCAAATCTGTGTTTCTGTTGCCATGTCTAGTTTATATATGAATCTGTTGCCTGCTCAGTTATTTCCTGTTTTATTTTGATAGTTCCTTGTCTCTTGTTGTGTTGGTATAGTGGTAAGGCTACACACACCTTTGGAGCGATGTCTGCAGCCTGTCCGCAGCTCAGACACAAGCATTTCGCTGCATGTTATACTGTGTATGTGACAAAAAAAAATGAATTGAAAGTACACTATGTTCAGTTTTGCTTCTCCTGTCTATTTAGTCAGATTCAGTTCAGCTGTGCTCTTCAGGTGTCTCCACTTTGCCCATTTGCTTTTGTGTATTTAAACCCTCTGTATTGCTTGTTGCATCATCCCTCATGCTTCTCCTGTGTAGTCCTCTGCTTTACGTGTCCTGATTCAGTTCTGACCTGGCTCTCTGTTTATCTCTCTTCCTTGTAGGTTACAAATAATAAAAGTTAAAGGCTTTCACGTCCTGTCTCCTGTATCTTGCACGTTGATGCCAAAACCTGGCTTCAGCACAGCAACACATGACAGAATATTTGGCTAGACAGAGCTCTGGCTTTTTGTCACCCTGGCTACATTGCAAAAAATACAAATAATGGTCACAGGTAGGGATGGGTATTGATAAGAGTTTCACGATTCGGATTCCATTTTCGACTCTGTTTAACGATTCGATTCTTTATCGATTCTCTTATCGATTCTCTTATCGATTCTTTTTAAAAAAGGAGAACACTAAGGTCGATTAGCTTAGAACTTTGTTTTATATCTTCGCTTCTTTGTTTTATATCTTCTCTATATCTTCAGGAGTAACATGGCCTTACAAACCCAACAGTGAGATCTTAAGAGATCCATAGCCTACGGCTCTTCAATGGGGTGTCACAGGGTCCCCAGGAAAAAAAATTGTAAATGTAAAATAATAAAATAAATATTCTTCTGTAGCAATAACAAAGTATAACATAAATTATTCAGTAGCAATTACACAAGAATATCCATTAATGTCCCTGCCTACAATTAAACACATTCACTTACTAAAGAATCAGGGGCATCTGCTATGGCAAATGGGTGCAAGCCTTTGACCACAAACTTAGTCACTGCTCGGTGACATTCGTCTATCCTGGCCTGAAAGGAGACGCTACCGGTAGACTGCAGTGAGAACTGCCAGCATCTGAGCCAGACTCGGTCTGTCTCTCTCATCATGGTCACCTAAATGCAGCGCACAGTAATGGCAGGTTTTGTAATAAGGCAGATCGCGTATTCGTAGTGTTTCCTCCCTTAAATTAAATATCTACTTTTCAAGTATTGCAAGTTGCCCTGTTATCATCTGTTCTCATAAAGTATAATCAAACTTTTGAGCGTTAGGCGCCGTGTTTCCTGCCAGGTAAATGACGCTCTGCAACGTGGTGACGTCATTCGGGGAGACTGAAATCAATAAGGGAATCATTTGCAAAACTGGCAAACAGTTCCAAGGAATTGAAACAGTGGGAACCGGTTCTCAACAAGAACTGGTTTTCGATACCCATCCCTAGTCACGGGGCCTCAGACCCAGGGTTTGAGTTTCTCTGTGGGTGTGTGATTCTCTGTCTAAGTAAAACAAGTAAAACATGGGGCTTTTTAAAATCGTTCCTCATCTTGTGAAGGCTAGTCTTCACAGATCTGATGAGCCTCCACTTTGCCCACTTTGGCGTTATTCTAAGATTTTTCCACAATTTGCATTTTTTTTCCTGAATGATGAACTTTGCTTATTTTTACTTCTGAGAAACACTGCCTCGCTAAGATGCTGTTTTCACAGTAAGTAATGTTACTGACCTGTTGCCAAGTAACCTAATTGGTTGCAAAATGTTCCTCTAGATGTTTCTTTTTTAGTACCACTTACTTTTCCAGCCTTTTGTTGTCCTCTTCCAATGTTTTTAAGATGCGTTGCTGACATCGAAATTCAAAATGAGGTTATATTTTTCATGAAATAGTAACGTTTAAACATTTGTTTTCTGTATTGTATTATGAATAAAATATGAATATATGAGCTCTACAAATCATTGCCTTCTTTTATTTTCCTCTTACACAGTGTGCCAATTTTTTTTTAAAATTGGGATTTTACTTGCACTTTTTCACCTTGCTCTCTGTCATTTTGTGGAAAATGCACATAAACCTGCTGATATCAGCTCTGCAACAGTTTGTAATACAGTTAGTGAAAAACAATAGTTTGTCAGGGCAGCAATATCATCAAATATGCTTGGCAAGTTGAATCAAAACAGTGGAGCTCAAAATGAGAAGGACAGAATACTACAGCACGAGTTCCAAGACTTGGTGACATGTAGTTTGTGTTTTTGTAAAGAACTGAATCATTGTTACCATTTATGTATTGAATGTATGCATTCATACTGTAATATGTGTGTGTAACATACCTAGAAGGGCTTTCTAAAATGCATGTGCTTGTTTGGTATGATAACCTTGTCTAGCCAGTCTATGAGGACCTGTGGTCAGTGTGTTTTCCTCATTTCTTCCATTGTTATACATATTAGGGTACAGTTACGTCAGCATGGCTAAACCTGGTTTAGGTTTATGGTTGTCTAGTTGAAGAAGATGGCATGAGTTTATAGCATAAGCTTAAATAAATATGCTTGTTCCCCCCAACCTCTGACTAGGGTTGCTGTCCATGGTGCTGATGAGAAGCCGGAATGACGCTACTGATGCTTTGTATTATAACTATATGATTCTATTTAATCACTGTATTCATTGTGTGTGTGCGTGTGTGTGTGTGTGTGTGTGTGTGTGAGAGAGAGAGAGAGAGAGAGAGAGAGAGAGGGAGAGCGTGCAAGACTGAGAGAGAGGGGTTTTTTTGCTCGGTATGTCCTAGGGGTAAGGACCCAAAAAATGGCACCAGAGCCTGTCACTGATTTGTTACACCTAAGCTTTCATATACACACTATGTACTAGGCAGCATGCAGTCTTTTATGATGACTGACTGATTTCTTATATATATTTAACAATCTTACCTCCTGTGTCGTGAGTACCTTCCACTGACATGGCCTTTACCATCACATCCAGGAGTGGGACAACTGCTACTGACACACATCAAGTCAAAAGAAATACAATTTTTTTACACACTATATATATATATATGTATATATATATATATAAGTATAACTTTTTATGCTGAGTTATAAACTCATTTACCTTAAGTCTTGCTTCATTTCTTGTGCCACCAGTTCTGATGAAACAGGACGACATGTTAGATACGGATATAACAATAATTTGGCTTTAACTGAAGTGAAAACTCTGGGCCTATTATCTTGTGAGCTCTGCTTATAGTCGACATGGTTTGCTTACTGTAAGAGATAGATGACATCTTCTCCATTACAATGTAAGTTGGAGAATTAGAGGACACCTTGTCCCACAGAGTGACAAGATGTACTATTATTTTTTTACACATAGCATGCCATTTTTTTGTTTCGGTGTCAATATTTAAGATTATATGCAGGTTAATGACACATGATAATTTAAAATACTAATGCATAACAAGCATTTGTCACAAATGATAATGGTTTGGAGAGAGTTCTATCCTTCAGCATGCATGGCACAGGAAAAATTGTTAAAATGTGTGTTTGGTAAGTTCTGAGAACTGCTCTGAGGAGTGTGCCAAGGCAAATGAGAAAAACAAGATAATGATAAAAGAAGAAGAGATAAAAGTGACCATCTGCTTATTATCAGCACACAGTTCAATGCCAGCATCCATAGGAAGCCTGCACCCTGTGAGTAGACCACAGTCTATGCGGTGGCTGTAGCTCGGGTGGTAGAGCAGGTCACCGCTGATTGGAAGGTTTTTGGTTTGATCCCTGGCTCCCCCAGTCTGCATGCACGATACTAACCCCAAGTTGCTCTCTGATGCATTCACTTGAGAATGTATGTGCTAGTTAGCTTCTTCTTTTTTTCTAAAAAGCATAGAAGAAGGTGCTTCTGTGAATGGGCATGAATGGGTGAATGTGACATGTTGTATAAAGCGCTTTGAGTGCTCCGGGAGAGTAGAAAAGTGTAAGAATAATAATAAGTAAGAATCAGTCCATTTACAACAGTAAAGATACATCCAAGCAACACTCCAAAAACGAATTTCATCTACAACAGCTACAACTGTCTTGACTACTGCTGTAAGTAGCAAGGTCTGGTAAGCAAGTGTGTTAGTGTTTTCTCAGTACTCCACCCTCTTTGTCATGGTGAAAATGATAAGAGCTTTATGCAAACTATAGCTTTCATTTCAACATTTTTTTAATGTATTAGAAATTTTATTTGTGTGTGTGGGTGTGTATATACTGACCCCGGATGCCTTTGGAGCGGGTTCGTGTTCGTGTCTCTGTAGTGTCTTGACTCATCTAAGTAACAGAGGGACATGAGTAACATTCACAAGTAAGGAAGTCTAGCACATACAGTCAGACAGACAGACAGGCAGGCAGACAGATAGGTACATTGTCACTGAGGCTTGTCCTCTCTGGCTGACTGGTTCTGTACTAGTCCACCGTGGGCTCAGAGTCTGAACTTTGAACTCATTTTTGCTGGATAAAACACACAAAACATACAACACCACCTTGCAGTCAGCTAGTGTTGTAGGACAATTATGTTATACACTATATTAAGCTGCTGCTTATATTCTAACTAAAGATCTTTAATCTTTCTCTTGTGAATCCCACAATTTTATGGAGGTAGAAATGTGAAAACTCTACTTTTCTAAAAGAAAATCTTTCCAAAGGTACCAGAAAATGTGTATTTCGGAGAAATATGTGGGTGCACATGGGTCTAGTATACTGTACATGCTCAGACAGCAATGTAGCATGTCACTGGGAACACCAAACATTAGCTGTTGCTGTTGTGTGTTGTATGTTTATATAGTGAGCGAATTCCACATCCAAACAGATTTGACCAAAATCTGTAATTTGATTCTCATATCAAAAAACATCAAAATCAAATGTAGACAAATATATTTCTTACGTAATGATTTACTGCTATCTATTTAGCTTTGGAAAGATGAGCATGAATTATTTCAACGGTCTTGTTGCAGATTGAGCCACTTTTCTTGGCTAAAGTTAAAAATCATTGGACGGCAAGAACAATACAAATAACCATTAGTTCAAAAGTATGACTAAATTATTTCGTGAGGGGGAGCCCCGTTTTGACACTGACAGTATCCAACGCAGACATGCTGTGTGAGCGTACAGTCCAACTATTCAAATATTCCATTAGTAAACAGATGGACTTTCTGATCAATGCCCGTGATTTTGGAGCTCAAAGTAAAGCAGGCTACGTCCTAGAAGGCAGTCGACAGCAGTCAGCTGTAGACGTGACAGATCGGGATTTCAGGATGACTAAAGTTTCAGGTGACCTCATCCTGCTGAAAGCTTTGTTTCACGTTGACAGCATTTGACAAAAAGAGAAATGAGAACACAAAGTGAGCTACAGGCCGATCGGCTGAGCACCACCAGGCCTGCGGCCGGCGGAGGACGAGCTGTTCCCGTTTCGGGCTCTCACTTCTGGGCCCGCCAAAGAACCGCCGGAAACGCCGAGCGGCCCATAATAATAATCGGATGAAAAGGCAGATCTCCAATGATTCTCCGTGGAAGGAAACGAGTTAAAAACATGGAAACCTAAATACGGCCTCGCTTCATCCGCACCCTTCGGCACCAAATCCAGCGTCACAGTCTGCAGCCGAGGCCTCACAACATCCACGCATACGCTGCTCTTTGTCACGCAGACACAGCTCGGCCTTACCTTACGCTCAGACTACTGCCCTCCCCTCCCCCCTCGCAGACACATATCCGGGCAGACGGACGTTCCGGTAACGCTCCAACGACTACGAGCCCGAAATAGGTGCGGAGCCAAGCCGTACACAGGGGGCCGAGTCTGCGAGGCGGCAGCAGCAAACCGAGCCGTTCAGCACCCCGGACAGAGACGGCCGACTCTCCAGCACCACGGACAGAAACCCCGCTGCACTGCCTCCTGCAGGAGCCCAGGAGAGCTGCAACCGGCCCACCGGGGCTGGGCTCCCCCCTCGGCCGGCCGCGAAGTGCCGGAGGCAGCCAGTATTTAAAGAGCCAGAGCCAGCAGAGAGGCCGGGGGGGAGACGACACGCTCCTCTCAGTCCCCGCGCAGCTGAGGCTGCAGCACTCCTCTGACAGAACTGCATTCTGCTGGACATTGTCAGCTGCAGAGCTCAGCTCACAGACATCAGAGACAAAGATTTTGTTCTCCCTTAGTCTTGAAACAGACCTCATTGCTTCATTCATTGCTGATGGTGCAAAGATCTATCAAGACCTGGGAAAATAAAATAAGACAAACAAGCAAAACCCAGTTTCCACAGTCCCAACGAGCTTGAAATTCAGTGTTTGACCACCTTTAATCTTTACACAGGCTGAACTCTCTTTTAGGAACACTTTCCTGTAACTTCTGTAAGTGTCTTCACAAATAGTTCTCAAGGGTTCTTGAACAACATTCAAAGCTCATCTCTGGGCCATATCTTTACATAATGGCAACATGTTAAATAAAAATATCAAACTTTGATTCATCTCTACATAAGTCCTGTTGCCTCTGGTTTTTAGTTCATCTGCCATTTCTCTCAGTTTCCTTCTTATTAATGGCTTCTTGATACGGTACACTATACTTTATTGTCCTCTAAGGCAAATTTTACAGAAATGTGTAAAGTGCTGTCACAGAAACTGCTTTTTAAAAGAGCCAATAAACATTAAAAGAAAGACTAAAGAAATACCAAACAGAAGTGGATCTATAATGACAAACCAACCAGCTTAAAAGCAACCAATACTCCACAGAAAACCCCTGTATTACACAAAACTCTGATGTAAAAGCTTGATTGGTGTAGGGACAAATGAAACGTTAATGCTATTCAGCCACATTTTAGGACTCTACTTTCTGCCAGAAGCCAAGAGCTCATACTTAGGATGTGGAATAGAGCCCTGTGTGCCTGAATGAGTACAGACTGCTCATAAATGACTGAAGGGAGAGGTCTTCGGCCCTCGGCACTCTGAAATTCAATTTTGCCTGCACAGAGAAACTTCCATGATACTCGATGGTATCCCATGCCTTGAAAGCCACTTTTCCTCTGAGACAACTTCTAATGAGTCTTCAGTGAACAGCAGATTGGATGCATCTCTCAGGTCCTGTGTCAGGTCTTTGCTGGATCTTTTCCAGTTTTTGACTTTCAGATACTGTTTATCTGCTGTAGAGTTTTTAAAAACTCTAGCTTTCTCAGATGTTTTAGAGACTCCCTGCACACCATTCTGAGATATGCCAAGTGTTCAACAAAAAGAAAATGGTCAAGCTAAGCCTGTTGATACAATTATTAATTAGTGCCTGTCAAATTGTGTTATCTTTGGCATTTTTCATAGATTTAACTCAAGAAATGGCGACAAATTCCTTGTTTTCATTACAGGCTGCCCAAAACAAAGTGTCTAAAGATATCACTGAAGATTGGTTCTTTGCTATGTTTTCTGTTATGTGTAGACAACACTTATTTATTCCTTTCCTGAATTTCCCATAATTTTCTGCCATAGTTTACGTCAATGTGTGTATACGAGTGTGTATGTTGGGTAGGAGTGGGTGTAAGTGTGTCTTTTGATGCTGGAATGATTGATAGGTCAGAAATAATGATTGAACAAACAAATAAAAAAAGCATATGTGAAAATGTTGATTTTTTGATTTTTGAATATCTGGCTCCTGGAAAGCAAAATGGAAAGAAATGAGAGGTGACTCAAAACCTTTGCACAGTATTGTAATTGTGCATATTACAGACAGATGAGCTAGTAACAGCTGCTGTTCACAGTGAAGCAGACTGAAAGTACGGCGGTTTTATACTTGAATGTGGAATGGCAGGGTTACTTTATAGTATGATCTCATACATAATATGAGATTAAAAACCCAAAAAGAAATATTTGGAACTATTTCAGCTGAAATGAAATAGGTTTAAATAATGTTGCAAACAGGGCAGCAGTTCAAAAAAAATGAAGAAAGAACAAATGTGTTGGCTTTGTGCTCCATTTTCACACATTTGTATTTCACTTGAACATTTACACAGACGTATGACTGTAGCTCTTATTTCTCTAGTTGTTTGCGTGGTCTGGAGAGACTGCTTCCTAGCTTGGTTAAATGCCTGCTGCCTCCTCTGGTCACGTGTCTTCGACTGGAAGAGCCGCTGAGAGAAACGGAGGATACGCATTGAAGAAGCTGCCGTAAAACCAGCAGGGGGCAGTGAAGGAACGGTTTGGAAGACGGGAATGAGTAGAAAAGTGTGGAAGACGAAGAAGAGTAGCGGAGCTGTTTCTGTGCACCAGCTGGTTGGACCTGGATCTGTGGTCTTTGGCTGTGCTTCAACAGTTCAGGTGAGCCCGCTCTCTGACCTTCCGAACCGGATTGCTGGAATTGATTTAGCAGAGCTAGCGCCACCTGCAGGCCACCTCAAATTGTTATTACGTGTGGGAAAGGTTGGTGCAGCAGAGCTAACGGAGGTAAGTGAACATGAAAGCTAGTTGTTGCTGGATGACGTGTGCGGCTAGCTCCTGTAGGCCAGTTTCTTAGTGCAGTCTCCGTGGACCTTCGGATGATCCAGTAATGAAACGGTGTTCTGACAAAACGTCCTACCTTGTCAAAACATCCTACCGTAGCGTAAATTTATAGTCTTGTCTATCAATCCGTGCTACCTTATCAGAATATGCTACCTTAAGTGGTTAATGGCTCCGTCGTATAGGTCGGACGTTCAGATGGCCAAATCACACTT